GTGCCTTCATATATATGTGAGAGTAAGTCAGTTGTCTATGAGAAAAAGAGAGAGCGAGTGTCAGAACAAGTGTGATAAACAGTGGCGCTGCAGATAGGAAAACACACACACACACACACACACACACACACACACACACACACACACACACACACACACACACACACACACACACACACACACACACACACACACACACACACACACACTCCACATTTAGGAACTCTAGTTATCCAGGAATTACAAACCCATCCCTTTTTTGGCAGGCAGTTGCACCAGTTTAGCATATTCTCTGCAATGTAGTTTACAGGTCTTTAGGTCTTAGATGCATACAACAGACTAATGATGGATGGTGGCCATTACATCTTTATGTAATTCCTATTTGTAATTAATATTGATTTTAATCCAGCTAGCATGAACACATTTGAATTGGCATCTGCATTTTGCAAAATGTCATGCTCATGCCTCAATCCTCAACAGAAAAATACTGAATTCCATACAATGGGATAAATAGTTACAATTTTGAACGAAGTCCAAATTAATTTGGATTGTTTGGAAATCTATTACTGTGAGTATTACTGCTAAAACAGGGTCTGGATATGTCTGCGACTTTTCTCTATTATTGAGCTGGTTTGTGGAGCTGTCCATTGCTGTGGTGCTGACATATTTATCCCTTCCAAAATCATCCATTGAAACAAAGCTGTTACCACTGGAGGATAGTCTTTTACTCCCTTGGCTGAGGAGGTAAATACTATCTAAATATATTCTGGATACAAGTTGAGTTTTAAGAAATAAACTGAATCAATATATTCATTTATCATAAACCACCTCCAGACCCCTTATCCTGCGACCTGTTGGGGGGTCCCAATCACTAGCTTTGCAACCACAGGAGTTTTAACAGCAGGGTCTCGCAAGTGTCTGTTATGACAAGCTGATCTTTATTTAATGGTTTTGACCGGTTTTTACACTATACATCAAACCTCCAAAGAGTCTTCAATATTAAAAACGCACAAGTGCGTAATTAAATTATCAATTATCTCGCTCACACTCATTGTCAGAGCACACAGCAGCGGGAGCACCGGGGCATGGGCAGGGTTGCCAGCTCTTGAGTGTTATTCCGTGTGGGAGGAGGAGGAGGAGGCTGGGTGTGTTTGAGAGTATCTAGCCTTCTCTCTTCACACGCTCTGCTGTGCGCACTGACTGAAGACAAAGCGCAGAGAGGAGTCCACCTCTCCATGTGATGTGCAGCCGCTCAGTAACAGTAATCTCAGATACTGCCCCTCGTAAAAAAAAAAAAAAAGAAGAAGAAGAAGAAAAAAAACATTTTATTAACGCTGCATGCGGACAGTTAAGTGCGTCTCTGCTTTTTTGAGTGTTTCAACTCAATCAGTGCTCCCACCTCTCCAGCCTCAACATTTGTGAAGTGGCTGCCTCACCCGCTCGGACCGGAGGCCGTCTGGTCTCCGATCTGGTCTCCGGAGTCACCGGAGAGTCCACGCGCTCCGTCAGGGCCAAGCTGTGCGGCTCGCGGATCAGACCCGAGCCGCCACGATCACTGGCCATGGAGATGATGGAAGGAGACGTTACGGACAAATTAGATGACATGTCTTCGGTGTACGACTTCGACCCGATCACCGGCAACATCCCCGCCACCAAAGTAGAAATCACCGTCTCCTGCAGGTGAGTTGAGGCGTCCGCAGTGAGGAGAGGAAAGTTCGTTGAGAGGAATGTGTTGTAGAAAAGTTGTGACAACGCCCCACCCTTCCTGTGGGATTCTGTTATTCCGCGAAATGATGTGTGATAAATAGAGACAACTTCATTACGGTTCATTACGCACCCGTTGTAATGAATTACAGGTTTTGGGTGGGGCTGCATGGTTTAGTTAAACAATAAATGTGTTGACCATTGTTCATACCAAGTCTTCTTTTGTATATTACTTGATTGATTTGCATGTATTCCTGGTAGAACAACAAGTTAAAAGCACCTAACTGAGGGCATGTTCGACCTGTCCCATTACCAGTGGTTAGAGTTCTGGAGATTTGCAGAACTTCATATTAGTGCTAGCTGGCGTTTAACATGCAAAGGAAAGGTATGTGCACAACGAGACAAGCTCTTATTACTGCAATACCAGTTAAGAAGAAAATCTCCTCCTACTGTTGGGTGACACTAGCACAACGCCCTTTCTGTATGTGCTGTACCAATAGTCACACTCTACAAGTCAAAATCTAGGAATCTGCACCTGGCTGAGGGTTTATCTGCATGGATAGTGGTGCCCTAGAAATAGAATGAACGTTTTTTTTTCAGGTAGCCTACTGTAGGTTTTCACTGACAATGATTTTTTACCTTAGTCTTTGGTGAAAACAAAAATGTACCAATACTAAAAAAGTCAAGAACAAACATGAAGAATAAAACAAACCTTACATTTTTTTTGAATGTTCTGAGCTGCATAGCTGTGTGCAAAATGTTCACAAATATTGAACAGGGGATGTGCCAAAGATCAAAGGAGATAGAATATGTGCAATGATGTATGTCACCTCGGCTGTTTCAGCACCTGCATCTCCTCTCTCTTCTTTATAAAGAACTGAATGTTGAAGATTGAAATGTTTACATTAGATTCACACAGTTTCCATGTCCCTGGCCCTAATCTTGATCAGATCTTTTTTTACTTTAATTTTTAGGTATTTCTCTTTCAGAAAGTAGCTTGCTCAGAGAGAATACACAGTCACTCCTCTTCCCATTAAGAGAGGTTTTAAAGTCAAAGCTTTCAATGCCTTTCTCCTCTCAGATTTACAATCTCCTGCTGGCATGTGCTCGCAATACTCACACACACACACACACACACACACACACACTCACTAGCACACAGATATTCACGCACACACACATGCTCACATCTCTCTGGTCTTTGATGCTGGGTTTTGGGTTGGTGAGCCATCGAAGCAGAGTGAGTTTGAGCTATACCAAGCTGTGTGTGCATTATTGATGGGCTCTCTGCTGTTCAGAGAAGCTCGCTGCCACATCTCTAAGCTCAGGGTAAAAAAAAGCACTAACACTGGAGATGAGTGCGTTTTAATTTAGTGAATGAAAAAGCATTTGCTTGTTTGTGTTGAGAAGGATATTGTGGGCGATAGTGGAAAAACAGTTTAGTTTCAGGCAGAGAGGCTGGATAGCAAAGTGTGTTGCATACAGCAGTCGAAGCCCTGCATGGTTTGGGATGTTGAATTTGTCAGCATTTAATGATGAGGCTATTGGGATTACATGCCTCAGTGATGTGCAATTAAGCACCATTCAGGTAAATGATAAGTACTCTTCTGACAACTCCTTGCATTTATGCAAATTATTTATCAGACATGTGCATGAGATTGTTGGTAATTATGTGCTGATGTGAGTTGGAAAAAGAAGGAGACAGGCAGAGTAGTGGTGCAGAGGACTCCTACAGTATAACAGAAAGAAGAGGATTTTGGGAAGAAGAAATCATTAATGACAAGAGTTTTTTCCTCCTGCTTCACTGCTGCTTTGCTTGTGTGTGTGTGTGTCGGTTTATGTGTGATGGAAATAATGAGATGAGTGAGAATAAGAGCCAAGAAATGCAGAGAGTGCTTCATAAATAAGTTAACATTTGATGCACACATGACTTTGGCCAGTAAATTAGCTTTAAAGACACCTCAATTTTCCAGGATCTTCCCATAACTGAGCCTCACATTTTAATCCGAAAACTGCAACATCTGTGGTGTTAAATAATTAAATATACAACCACTGATTCAGCTCCTCCTAAAGCAGAGTACATCAACATTGTTCTGTCACATTCAAACATTTCTTATAACAGTTCAAGGACTCACAAACCCTCCAAATCCTTTGTACAGATGTTGTGTGAGTCAGAGTCGTTTTCAAGAAAAGGTGCTGTCGGCTGGCTCTTCTTTACTCTTCTCCCTTTGTCCTCATGTACATGCTTGCTCTAAAACCTCCGAACCGTGATAATAGCTTTTCCCTCTGGGGTTAATACCCCTTATTACAGAATACACCCCCTGCTTTTGACAACGGGTTATTATCAGGACCAATGACAAATGGGGAGGAGTGGGTGGGAGCTGGATCCGTAAAATGAGAGGGGGGAATGATAAGAATAGGTTTGTTTTTCATTCAGGGTGGGGAAGAAAATGACGTATTTGGTAGCAGAATGCTGCAAATAGTGCCTCATTCATTTGTAGCTGCAGGAACCTGTTCAATGCTAATGCAGTAAATTCAACTTTATGGGATTTTGTATATGACAGTGCTTGGGAAACGTCTGTCACCGTGTTCACATCTCTCAGTATGGTTGATGAGACGTTTCCAGACCATTTGTTTTGTCGGAAAGCTTGTCCTTCAGGAGTTCTGTCAGAAACAGAAAACTGGTGAAACAGTTTTCGATAAAAAAGGAAAAGAAAGAGGAGGATGTGGGACCAACCTGTGTTTTTCTTAAATTGGCGTTTACACTCCCAGGGGGCTTGTCAGTCAAAAGTCTGCTTCCTGGGGAGAAATGAAGGGACAGGGGTACAATTGGCAAGAGTACAGGAAAGTGTGGGTGTAAATCCTACAGCCCCACAGCCAAGCAACAGTCTTTTTGTTCAGCCCTTTGTTCAATATCTCTGAAAGGGTATAATAATGCTTAATTTACAGTTAAAAGACTATTCTTTCCAAGACAAAAGCCTAAAGAAATCTTAAAATGAATTACATTATACAATTATTTGTTATTAGAAAGGGTGACGTTGTTAAAGGTAGAGTCATTCTGTCAGCCCCTTGCTGACTTGAATGGGGATTGAGTCGTTCATTCATGCGGCTCATCTAGACTCTACAGATGTTGTCACTCCAAATTGATCAAATTCTTATAGTGACCAGTAGCGATGGAGCTAACTATGGCAGAACCTACCATGGCCAATTCTTCTAGTGTAATCAAACATGTCATTCAATTGAAAATACATCTGTGATGCCCCTGTGGGTTCATCTTGAGAGGGTGTGGCTGTGCTGCATCCAGCCGCCTGATTGTAGTAACTCAGGGCACCTGGGTCTGGTTCCCTGCAGCTATTTTAAAGCCTCTCTGCTCCTCTCTGTTCTCCCTCTGCTTCTCCCTGCACGCACCCGGGTTTTGTTGAGTATGCTATGAGTTCCTTCAGTTGCTTCACTTTGTGCACTTCAACACTCTCACACTCATACATGTCCATGCAATCCTCACCCTGCATTTACACGACTGATACCACTGACATCCACACCTCATGCGTTACTTGCTTTGCACTTGCTTCATTTGGTTGATTTGAATGTTTTGCTTAAATAAACATCTTTTGTTAAACGTGGATATGGTGTGTCTCCTCTTTGTTGTGGCCTTTTGAGCCAGGTCATAACAACATCTCATAAATGTATCACCGTTATTTTATTGTGAAACGTCTGAAATTCGTTTCATATCCCAGTCTTTTCATCTGTTGCTTTTCAGAAGAAAGTCAAAGTCTGATCTTCCAACATCACAAAGAAGTACTTATGTGTCTAAAGTTGCCTAAAGCAGTTTTTAAGTCTCTCCAGTCAGCTGAGGATAGACTGTCCGGCTTGTCTACTAAAGAGTATTCAGTCAGTGAAGGAGCACCAGCTGCTGAGAGCCATAATGATAAGCAATGAATCCACCCGGCATTACTGTGGGCTGGAGCCTGCACAGCCAATGCGAGGAATCCAAGAATTCAAAGCAAACATATTTCTGAGTTTCTAAAGCAAATAATTCAATTTCATTTCAACATAACTGTAGACTTTGTAACTTGTAGCTCCTAATAGCCGTTCCTTGTCCTTTCAGACCTGACCTAAATGAACCCGCCTTGGACATACCGAATTACAATCAAAAATACTTTATTGATCCCTGGGAGGAAAATAAGTAGAACCCAGGACCTGAATTCAAGACTTGAACCCGACTATAGACTAGGTTATATTTCTGCTGTTTCTAGAGCTGGTCCTTGAAAGTCAATAAGTCGAATGATCCACTGTGTGAGTGCAGAGTGAGTTTGGATTGCAATATATTTTCAGCTATATATATATAGGAAAGCAGATGAAAAAGCAAAAAAGTGTAACACTTAAAAAAATCTGAGAGCCCTCACTGGTTGTATACATCAAGGGGCTAATGGGACACAAATGAGGGTCAGGAAGGGGGAGGTGTGATTGTCGACAAGCTTTGGGTAGAAGGTCACATCGACTGAAGTCTGAGCACAGAGATCGAATTAAATCATTAAAGGATTGCCCTAGTCTTGAAAGCGAAGCATAGATTTTCAATGGATTAAATATAGGTCTTGTATCGGCTGGATATTAATAACTGGTGGCTTGTGGGAGTGATTTAATGTTGCTATTCCTGTAGTGCACAGCTCTTTAGAAGCGGGGATTTCTCATCTTGGTTCCTGAGTGCACGGCATTGCATTGCATGTGATTAAATTCCTCTGCTAAATGTCTGGATGCTCTGCATTTGCGTACGGCTTTGTGCTGATGAGGACCCCGGTTTCCACATCTGATGGGTCCCTCTACGGATCTGGGACAGATATGAAAGCAGCTCTCAGTGTGGAAAAGCCCTCGGGAGATCCGACGCTACGGCTTAGCATCACTCTGATTTCCCATGCTATCTTTAGGTTGGAGCACTTTTGGTGTGAAAATGTAGGAGCATCATCGAAGCGAAATGAACC